AGTATAATTTGGAATAGACCCAGTTACCCCTTGTTACAATGAGGAGTAAGGAATGATTTTCCCTCTGATAGTAACAAATAGCCCAGACTGCTGTGTTTTGAGGGTTTAAAAATATCTTTTGTTTCTAAAAACAACAGGTTCCTCTTCCTCCTCAGCACTTATTGATAAGTAAATAACCAAACTTGTATCTAGGTGAAGAGAAAATAAGTATTTTCTATATTAAGTGGTTTTCAAGATGGGAATTCTCCCCTCTTACATATTTGAGCTAGCTGTTTTCTAGGTAATATTCTACAGTGGTCACCATTTTTCTCTCTCATCTTAATCATTTTTACTTTGCAAAGGCTACAAGATGATCTTAATAGATTTTATCCTGACAAGAGAGCAGAAGCCTGCTTTCACTTCAGTTTTGCCAGCATTATATGTAGTGTCAGCCTCTCTGTGGGTTTGCATGTAGACATGCCAGCCAGACCCCTAGAGGGATTTTTCAGCAGCCATGTGGTAACACTGTGTGTTATTCAAGAATTTAGTCTTTTGTACCTGCATCAGTTTGACTGGCAAGGTTAATGACATGTATGGGTAGGAGGGCTCAGCCAAATTCTGGAGGTCTGTGCCTTCTAGGGGAAATGCTGTTCTGCTAATCGTTCATAGTTGCCCTTCCCGTTGAATGGCTCGTGAATGGATTGGCAGTGGCTTCTTGCAAGAAGATGCCTACCTTAGAAGGACAGTGAGGCCACATTCAGCTCACTGGGCTAGTGTTGGCCTTAATGGGTACCTGCCACAGGGGAGAACTGGCACAAGACTAACAGTGGAACTAAGGACACCCCTCCTCTGGTGGTGGTGAACTGGCTTCCTCAGCTAGAGTTCATTGAGCTTAAGTCCTTTTTTTCTAGTTTCTCTTCTCCGGGAAAGCTGTTTCTCATCTGGCTGGGGAACCCATCATTATCGTTTTTGTTTCATGGTACCTTTAGGTCCAGACCAACACGTTAGCCACCTAAATAAAACTAGAATCATTTTTTTAGTTAAAAGCAATCTGCTTTTATTCTCCTGTGTCCATACTTAGAAGAAATCATGTCCTGTGGCATCTCTGGATTGTATTGTTATCACCTTTTGGTTTGAAAGCAGGTTGACCCAAAATTCTCTGCTCCTTCTTGGTCTTCTGTTTCCATTTCAGTTAGTCTCTGTCTTGCTGAGGGGCTGCTGAAGCAAATCCATTGGGCCCAGAAATATAGGTCAGTGGTAGAGAGCTTGCTGGGCATGTGTGAGTCCCTGGGTTCCAAAAACCAAAAAAGGAACCTCAAAAACTGTTCCTAAGATCATTTTTGTTTTGGTGTTTTGGTTGAAGAAATTGCCTTATCCTTTGCTAAGGTGTGGATGTGGTGTTCTCCCGAGGATCCATAGGAGTGGATGCTAGGTCTCTGGGCTTGCCTTGGTGTGGGGATGTGGGGCTTAGTGGGAAGTGCTAAGGGCTTGCTGGGGATCATGCCCCCTGAAGGGTGTGGATAGCTTTTCGTAGCTCTCCTGAGAGGGTTGTTGTAAAAGGAACAGGCTGAACCCTACTCGCCTTTCTCTAGTTTCTGCCTTCGCTTAGGATTCCCCTTCTGAGGTAACACCCACAGCAGGGCCCTTGCCAGAGCCTATGCCTGTGCACACTATATGAACTTTGAACCTCCCAAGACTGTGAGGTAAATCTTTTTTCATAAGTAGCCTGTGTCGGGCATTCCATCACTGTAACAGAAGCTGACTAGTCAGTCCACACTGCCTTTAGGGTATTAACAAAACATGCAGGCTGAACTGAGCATCGATATGTTTTCTCCTAGTTAGTTCTTTGGAACATAAACTTGATGTTCACCGCCTTCTCTCACCATCTTGAGTGTAAGGACTGTGAATGGCTCCATGCTGCTTCTATAGGGTTTGAGGTTTACAGAATCCTCAACAGATTCAGTAAGTGCAAGTTAATTCCTTGCTTATTTTTTATCTCTTCCATGTGAATTTTTCTGATTCTCTTTGAGACAGAAGATTTTTATCAGCTCTTATTGCCCTACTTTCACATTATTCGCTGATGGCCGCTGTTGCAGGGCTTATTGCCTTATCTCTTGAGGGCCAGAGGAAGGCTGGAGGGGTGCTGGCTCCCAGCCTGAAGTGCATCCCCGACCCTTCCCCCCTCCTCTCTTTCCCAGTGCTGCTTGCCTTCGGGAAATGGCACAGCTGGCTGCAGAAGATGCTGCAGAATCTACACACAAACCCTCATTGTTTTTAATGGTCATCTGCCTTTCTGTTTCCTTCCACTACTCTGTGCATCCAAGATTCAGTACAGAAGGGCTGTATTTAAGATAAATTCAGCATGGACATTTTGATCTGGAGGGAACTCCTAAGATTATTTAACCTATCCCTTCTGTTGGACAAAAGAAGGAAACTTAAATAGAAACGTCCAAAACTTCCAAATATGGAAGTTCCCCCATGATAGTCTGGTTTTTGGCATGTAACATCCTACATCATACATGTACATGGAACATGAGTTGGTCCTATGGTAAAATAATCTGGCTGTCGTGGTACCCTGCTTACATTGGGGGATGTGCTTCTTGGGTGAAAACTTCCTATAAAGAAGAAGTTAAAATGGGTGGTGACTTTTCTTTTTCTACCTAGGCTTGCATTAATTATAAAACCAGTAGAACAAAAATACATATTTTGTTCAGTGGAAATGTGACTAGATAGTTTCTTCTGTCACCTTTTTGTGGGGGAAAATTCCTAACTCTTTAATTTTGCACGCACACACACACACACACACACACACTCACTCTTGTTTGATGAAATGATTTTCCCCAAAGTCAGCATCAGGTTTAAGAACCTCCTTCTAAATGGAAATGATCAGAGCCGAGAAATAAGCAAAACAAAAACAAGGGAATGGCTTTTGTCAGACCAAAAGGAATCATGCTATCCAGAAAAGGTCTTTTGCAGCCTGTCTCCTGTTGGAATTTCAGTTCTACTGAGTGCTTTGCCCCTCAGAACATCTGGGACTGTGAAGGCTGGTTGTTCATGGGGGTGACTGCAGCAGGTGGAAAGGGCAGGAGGTATCTGTTAGGGTAGATTTTACTTTTGGGGTAAATGGGTTTGTGGGTTTGCCACTGTATAGCCCCCTCTTCCTACTTGTTCATCTTTATCTCTGTAGTTCCCAAGCTGCACAGGCATGGTTTTTAAGCATTTGAAAAATGTGAAGTCTCCATTTGAGGAGAGCACATGGATTACTTTACTGATGCTGATCTTATTGGAGTGACAGCTCATGCATTGGAAAGTTGGACAGGAGAAGAAAATTTTGAGTTCTTCTGGTACTTGATAGTAGCTCTTAGAGAAATAATGGGAAAAAGATCAGAGGAGATTATTTTTGGAGTTAGCTGCCTCTGGTCTCAAATGTTATACCAGTGACTTGATGCTGTCTCTTCTCAATTGTCCTTGTCTGAAAAGGAGGAATTAACGTAACATTGACCTTCTTCTGGGCCTGTTGTTTTACCTAAGTATAGAAACAACACCATTTGAGGAAGGGGTGTATGAGAGGTGGGTTTACTTGTCTGGGGGGACCCCTCTCCCCCTTGGACTCTGGCGCGGTGGCGGGGAGAAGAACAGTGAAAGCAAAGCCTTAATGTACTCTTGTAAGCCTGGTGTCTGACTTGACAGGCACATACAGATTGACAAGCTGTGTGTTTTTATTTTTAACTTGCAGGAATGCCTCCCCACGTCTCCCATGGTCTGAGGACCGGGTCACAGTCTGTCCTGGCCCGTGTCCAGTACACTGCCCTCCCCATCTCTGTGCCCCTTCTTCCCTCTGCGTATATATTTTTTGTAGTTATTTATGACTTTTTAGCTTTTTAGGACTGTAATTCACGAAAACTTGTTTGTCTAGCAGTTGTCTCTTGCCCCAGTACCTTATCTCTAGTATGAGTCATTTTACAACTTGTGTGTCTGCTATTTATTTAACCCAGTTAATTTTGTGAATAAGGGCTCGTTGGAGTGGTTAATGAAATATGGACCAATTAAAAAAATTTATTTCTTATAGGTCAGTTAACATACAAAAGGAGTGAAGAATATGTGTTCTTCTTTGAGGAGGTTGTTGTGTTTTCTTTTTAAATCTGGCAGTTTTAGTTAGTGTTGTACAGGAATTTATTTTACTGATTTTACATTCTGGCCAGACCTGGTGGCACATGCCTATAATCCCAGCACTTGGGAGGCGGAGGCTTACAGGAGGATCTCCGCAAGTTCAAGGCCAGCTTGGGCTATATATAGAGTTCAAAGCCAGTTTGACCTGCATAGTAACACCCTGTCTCAAAATAAAACAAAACAAAATAATAATTTTACACTCTGTGACTCTGACTGTAACATCAATATAGCTTTTAAGTGCATTAGGGTTTTTGGGAATCCATGTAGGTCACTCACCCGTTAGGAATATAAGGCAGTGACCTCACAGAAGTTGGGGCTTGGGGTATAGCTCAGTGGTAGAGCACTTGCCTAGAGTGTGCAAGGCCCTAGGTTCAGGCCTAGCCCTGCCAGGTGGAGGAAGAGAGTTAAATTAGGTTTTTGCTACTTTCCCCTCTCTTATACTGTTAAAGTCTAGAAGTTAAATGCATAACGTAGCCTAGTCTCTTTCTCACTAATATAGGTAGATGTTTTTACTTACATTTTCTTACTCGGTTTGCTCCTTGGTAGGCTTTTGTTTTTCCTTGAGGAGCTATTCAGATAAGGATTTAAAATTTTGATGTGTTATATTTGGTAAATGCCATTATTGTCCTGCTGGGCGGATTTTACTTGGTCTGTTCAAAGGACGAGGCGGAGTCGTACTTTGTGGGGGATATTTAAAAAATAAGAGTGGCAGGAGAGATGAATGGCTTTGTTTTTTCTGTGCTTGCCTGAGTCCGGTCTGTAACTGTGTACATGTCTCCGCTGGGTTGTGCCTCCTAGAGGGGGTGAATGTCACAGCCAGTGTTGATGGGGTGTCTTTCTCAATCCACCAGGTTCTCCTGCGCTGCCTAACAGTATGGTGTATTTTGGAAGCTCTCAGGATGAGGAGGATGTGGAGGAGGAAGATGATGAGGCAGAAGATATCAAAACAGCCACCAACAATGCTTCATCTTCATGCCAGTCAACCCCCGGGAAAGGAAAAACCCACAAGCATGTTCACAATGGGCACGGTAGGTCCACCACTGTCTTTGGGTTGTGAAAATGAAATGTGAGCTTTGGGTGAAGGAGCTGAAAGAGGTCATCCCTCGAGAATGGAGAATGGAGAATGGAGAGATGGAAGGCTGTAGCTGGGTGATAGTAAACCCAGTTGTGAATGCCTCCCTGAGTGCCAGATCCTTTATGAGCAAAGAGATAATTACTGCAGCACAGAACAGTCCAGGGTGTTCTAGATGCAGAGATTAAGGCGAGAGCAGATGTCGTTATGTTATGGAAATGCAGATGAATTCTGCAAGAGCTGGAGGTAACAAGCATCAGAAGAGGGAATGGCCATATCTGAATGGGGATGGTCAGGATTTTGTCAAAACTTTGGTGTCAGTTTTTATAATTATGATTTGAGCAGGTAGATACAGTGTAAAAAGCAAACACTTATTCTCCCTGTGAAATTGAGAATGTGTGTATATGTGTGTGTATACACACACACACACACACACACACACCGTGAAGCCAACTGATTTTCCCCCCAAGATTAGTGGGTAGAGGGAGAGGAGGAGAATAAAAGGTAGAAACAAGGCAATCAGAGATAGACAGCTCATGCTATTTAAGTTGGCTATGGAAAGTGATAAGCCATTTTGCAGTGCGGAAGTGACTTATTAGAGTTGTGCTCTGAAACAACTTAAGGTAGCCTCAACAGTGAAGATTTCATGAAGGAAAATGAAGATGAGGAAGCACTTTGGAAATTTGTAATTGCAGCCAGTTACCTGGCCAGACGTAACAATGGACTAGTAGTTTGTCGTGTCACCGTACACAGGAGGATATAAATATAATCACGCATCCTTTACGCATGTTCTAAGAAATACGTTACTATGTGGTATTGTTTTGCCAGAATATACTCACACAAAGCCAGATGATCTAGCCAGTCACTCAACAGGGCTTCTTGATGCTATCAAGTAATGTGAATGCAGGATATATGATCCTGCCTGCTGCTGTGACACTTCATAAGTTCATTTTACGGGAAACTTTTTACATGGATGACATATACTTAAATTCTCATATCATTATCAGGTAGTAGGCACTGTACATATAACTGAGCTATACATTTACATAACTGGCATCACAGTGGGGTTAGTAGCGACAACAGCATCACCACAGATGTTTGAGTTGAACAATAATGGCGTGATGGCTACAGTGGCAGTGGGTGATGGGAACTTTCCAGCTTTATTATAGTCTTAGGGGACCAAGTCATACATGGAATCCATGGTTGACCAAAATACCATGCACCTGTCTAAAAAGGAAGGTGTAGGTATAGCAGTTGCAGAGGTGGCTGTGAGAGACCATAGTAACTGATTAGAATATCATGGCACAGGGGGAAGGGGACAGGAACAGGAGGGAAAACAGAATGGTGGTCGGAGACTTTTGGCCATTTTCTTTCATTTGAGCCCCTCTCAGCAGCCCCAGTAGATGCACTTTGTTTAGGACTTGCATAGGAGGCTCTGGAGGGTGAGAGGTTACAAGTGGCAAAGGGAGGTTCTTCCTTTTTTCCTTAGCAGCTAAGCACTGAGCTCCTACATGTCTTTGTGGACTCCATGGCAAGAACATGCTCAGGACAAGCAGGGCTTAAACAGCAGTGCAAATCTGCCTTGGGTTTTTCTGCTTTGTCAACCTAATGATATTCACCTGTCCCGTTCTCTTGTTTATGGCTGTTTGGATGATACCTAGACATGATGGAGGACACAAGTGAGCCTTTTTTTAAGGACTTGGAGGTTAATCGGGGAGGTGGGACTAATACACAACGGTAACTAAATTTAAGCATTTTTGGGAAAAGCTTGTTACTTACTGTGGTCATCGGGAAGCTCTCTGTGGTTGAAGGAGCGCTGTATGTCTGAGCTGGAAGGCAGGTCCAGGCGTGTGGATGAGCATTCAGGGAGGAATAGCAGGAGTGGTGCCATGTTGCCTTACGGGATGGAGGAGGGTTGGGGGGCGCGTGTGTGCGTGTGCGTGTGCGTGTGTGTGTGTGTGTGTGTGTGTGTGACGGGGGGTGCTGTGGGGGCCTGGAAGCTCTGGAGGGAGCCGATTACAGGGGGCAGGTGGAAAAGTCCTAATATGGAGAATAGGGAACCATCAGTGGTTTCAGATACGGAAATCAGGTGAGCTAGGTCAAGGTCAGAACAATTCCTCTGGCAGCAGAATTAGTTTGCAGTAAAAGGAAAAATGAGATTAGAGTTGGAAGATTGAAGATTCCATCCAGGAAGAGCTGATAAGAATCTGGACCTGGGAGTGGGCATGGTGGTCCATGCTTGTAATCCCAGCACTTCAGAGGCTGAGGCAGGAGGATCGCTGTGAATTTGAGGCCAAACTGGGTACATAGTGAGACCTTGTCTCAGAAAGCAAAACTGAAATGAAAGGAATCTGGACTTGGACAGATACAGCAGTCCATCTCTTCTCCAGGGTCTCGAGGCAGGGGCAAAGGTAAAAGGGTGGGGGTTAATTAGGTGTGGGGGTAGCTAGGAACCTTAATGTTTGGTGAGTTTGTGGCGATGGTGAAAGACGACAAAACCACAGAGGATGAACAGATGAGCTGTGGGTTGAAGCTGTCAGCACAGATGAGTTTTTTGAGATAACAGCATAGGAAGAAGCTGTGAGGATTTGTTTTTCCATCTTGAGGAAGGAATGTAAATTTTTGCTTTTCTTACTTGGTTTAATTGGAGAGAATCAAAGAGTAAATAAGTGTGAATAAAGTGAAATTGCACTCGTCTGTTCTGCAGTGCCAGACGGTGATGATGATTTCCTCAGTGTAGTATCTGACTGCTCTGTTCACCGGGCTGCTCGTCACCCCTGCTGCACTTGGACAGCAGTTTCGCCCACCCTGCTGATGAGTTCCCGCCCCTTGTTTGCTGTCTCCTCTTGTTTGAGCTTGCTGAGGAGACACAGGGTTCACTAAGTGGTTTTTGCATCGATTCAACTTAGAATGCCAGATGCCATCATCTTCAGGTACACAGGTCTTTAGTACCACATGAGCCTCAGGCTGATTGTGTGAAGGCGGGGGAGTCTAGGATCGGTGTGGGATAAGGGTAATGAGTTGGCAGCACTCTCACCTGAGGGAGGAGGATAACAGTTCCACATGGATTCACTGTCACTGTCATTAGAGATGAAGGAGAGTCCATCCTTCACCTCTGCATCTGTCAGTACATCTGTGTGTATTTGTATGCACACACAGGTCAACTCGTACTTTTGGAGAATTTTGAGTTTTGCTATTTCACACGTTTGATATTTGAGAGAAAATAATACTGTGGTGATTGAAATAGGCTCAGCCTTTTCATCTTGGGGATTTGTTAATATGAACAATTCCAGAAAACTGTTGAGTTCTTCTTGTGTAGTAATGAATTCTAGTGTCCCTTGAGCATCTTTGACTCCACTGTGGTTGGAGTAGCAGGAAGTCAGTGAGGGGCACCTTAGGTGAGAACCCACTAGGTCCTTCTTGCCGCCTCTCCTGAGTTTCTGCTCTTCTGCTCGGTCTCCCCCTCCCTCCCCACTTCTTCTCCTTTACAGAAGTCAGCCTGGAGGAATGAAAGGAAAGGGACCAGTAGCGAGCAGCTAGGTTTAATCAAGGGACCAACTGCACTCAGACTGCAAACCTTCTGTGCTTGTTTTGAGACTTGGAGAAATCAGAAGTGGAGGGCCCTTTTCAAACCCTAACCTGCTCGTATATTAACTAGAATTATTTGTTCATTCTATTATCCACATTATCTCCAGGAGGTTTACTGCTAATGTGTCCTTTTATGTAGCTGTCTGCCTTTGAGCAAATTGCTTAATGTTTCTCCTCATTTGTAAGGCAGGGCATAAGTGAAACGTCTCTATAGTCTGCTCATGTAAACAGGCTCGCAGTTGCCAGGTAGATTCTCTGTTTGTGTCCTAGCAAGGGTCTCTCAGGCACCCGCTCCCTTGTGTGATTGTGTGATTTGAGGGCTCGTCTCCATTCTCTTTTGAGTCCATGTCCTGTACAACAGTCAGTGTGACGTGGTCAAGCAGGCACTTTTCCTGCTTTATAAAATGGCAGGTTTGTGTCTAGTCTTGTATCTGTCACCAACAATGGCCACAATTGCAATCAAGACTCAAGGTTGTGAAATTCCTTGTCCAGTGCTTTGGCCCATACACCATTCTGCTATAAGGATGAACACTCAGACAGTCCCACTCTCTTGATGGTGTAGTCACCGCTATCCTATCCAGTAGACAGTGACAGCTCTCCTTAGGTCTGTAGTTGTTCTCTTGCCCCATGGCTTTAATGTCCTTGGAAGCTAAATGGCAACAGTCCATAGAATAGCATTGTTTTCTCATGAATCCAGTGGAGGGAATGGGCTGATTCCAGCCTAGAAATATGTGGAGCATGTGGAAGGCTCCTCCAATTTCAGATGACCCAGCCAGGATGGTGGTACTGTTGATACAGAGAAGCTGGCTTTGTAGAAGGCATATTTATTTTAGCCTCAGATTTAGTCAGTATTTCAGCAAAACACTGAGATCTCTGTACACAGCCAGCTGTGCTGCCTTACCTTGTACTTTGCATGTACTTCTATATAAAGAAGCTAGATGACATGTAGTCAACTGACCTCAGGAATTTATTAAAGCAAGTACTTGTGATGCTTGGGAGTAAGTCACCAGGCAAGAGGTACTAGTTGAATGTAAGGATGCTAAATATCCCTGAAGAGAATATTTTCAGTAGTAGCGAGGAGTTATTGACACTATTAGAAGCTTACCATTCAACCTTATAAAACTGTAGTATAGTGGTCTTTGAAAACTAAACATTCAGCTGTAGAAGATTTTCATGTGCATCATTGCCCTTTCCCCAGCCATTTCCAGTAAATTAAAACTATAATACCAAGTTTCCCAGCATACGTGTTTGATGTCTTTTTGTTGTTGTTTGATTTCTCTGATTGCCTTTGTCATCATACAGTTGTAAGGAGCTATTTTCAATCTTCCTCACCCTTTTTTTGAGGTAAGGTGGCATGTAGTCCAGGCT